TGAAAATATCAAATGTGTACAAGGATTGCAGGTCCTAGGATTGCAGATTGATCAAAATAGTGAATTGCTTTGAATTTATTACAGCCCAGCAATAAACCATTAAATCACATTGGATTTATTATTTAATTGGCACTGTATGCTTATCCCTTTGCTAACTGCTTGGGTTGTCTTTAAAAATGTGATTGGCCAATATGGCCACAATAATATTTCAGTAGCAACTATATCACAAGACAGAAGACATTGGCGAGTGGAATAAAGAAATGATGCTACCAATTTATTTTATGTCCTCTCCTCTTCTTTTTCAACTCCAGGACTTGCACCATCAAGTGCAAAAGACATGAGATAGCTTAATGGTCTTTGCTCCATCTTCAGAGTTTGGTGGCAAAGAGGACAACCATGGGTCATCTTGAAATTGTTTTAGAGATTTTGGGAGCACAAAAATGATAGCAAAGAGGCAGAGACTACAATATTCTCCCAAAATTGTCCTCAATACCATCACACATTTTTTAATTAAGCTTGGAGAAGAATTGTAGACTTCTGGTGGCCAAAATAATAAGTATAATTGCAACTGTCATACTGTGGCTTTTACTCTTGGACAAATTAAGAAAGATTACACTAAAGTAAATAAAGGGGGCAACGGAATCAGGATAGATAAAAATGAAGCAAGATAATAGCAGGCGCCTTTCAGTGCCTGACTAATTTTTCTCTTTCTAGGGCAGAGTTTCAGATATTTTATTTTGGCACACTTTGCAGCCCATAGAAGCTGAGTGTGCTGATTAAAAACAACTGTAAAAGCAACACAACTAAGGGTGCATAAAAGAGAGTATTAATGGCAGTTTGTGAACTTCATCTATAATGAACGTAGAGATGACGCTGAGGAACTCTGGATGCAAATGTACTTTGCTTCAATATTATTTCAGTTGTGGCTAATAAAAGAAGAAACAGTTACTGTACATGCTTTACTTGTTATCTGCATTCAACTCAGGAGTTCATGTTTTTGATTTCCTCTTCTTGGGAAGTTATAGGACTGGGGACTTGGAAGCCAACCTTTCCAATGCCTACCCTTGTCATATGGAGTAGCTTCCACTCCACCCCCATTTCCTTTTTTAAAAAGAGGGGGGAGGGTTAAGGCCAGAGGTGGTATTCAGCAGGTTCTGGCCAGTTCTGAAGAACCAGTAGTGAAAATTTTGAGTAGTTCGGAGAACCGGCAAATACTACCTCTGACTGGAGATTTTACAGTATCCTTCCCCTGCCATGCCCACCAAGCCACGCCCACAGAACCGTTAGTAAAAAAAATTTGAATCCCACCACTGGTTAAGGCGAGCTTCTTTTCTGGTACTCTGAAAGATGGTGATGATTTTGTATGAGGGCTTTTTTGTGTGTGTATTTTTGTAGAGGGGTTTTTGTGTGTGTGTATTTTCATATATTATGTTTTAAACAAGTATGAGATATGTTTATGATTTTGTGATGATAATATTGTAAGCTAGCTAGAATATATGACTGGGCTGGCAAACTGAAGGAAGGGTTATTGAGGAGAAATCCTTTTTTAAGAAATATTTTTTAAAGAGTTTTAAGTTCCTTCGATCAAATGTCTAGGACAGAAATAAAATTAAACAACTGGGTCATATTTTCAAACATTATCCTGAGAAATAGCATTAAAAAGCCATCTTTGATTATTTTGGTTGCTTTTCATCATGGGCTTGAAACTTACACCATTAGATACAAGGTTATTAGAAAAACTCGAGCACACGAATTACTCCTCTTTAGAGAAACTAAGTTAAATCAGACCTGGGTTTTCATACTTGCATAAAAAGTCATCATCACACCCCAGAACTGGCGAACTAGTGAGGAATTTGGGAAAAAAACACCCCAGAAAAAGCACATGGCAAATTACTTTCTTACTATTGCCAAGAAGACATTGATTTTTTTTGTAATCTTTCAAGGAAAAATCTAAGAATTGTCTACATGGCTATGTAGTTGTTCTAGGAGTCAAAGTTCTGCAGATAGACCCCAAACTGAAAAAATGCTGGCCTTCAAAATTACTTGGAAAGCAGAGCCAGGAGAAGATAAAAATTCCAAATAATGGAGCATACACAGGACTAATCTTCTTGGCTTCTTTAAGAGAAC